TTTATAACTTAAAAATTATAATATAGGTACCTACTATTGTTTTGAACATTTCCTATGTCGTACGTGTGTAAGACGGAGACAACACATGCGGGTTAGACGTCCTCTTAATAATAAAACTATAGGTATACTATAGGTAGGTATATATATTATATATATAGCCATATATAAGTAGGTACTCACTATGACACTACTCACCACTCGAATAATTATATTTATATTGTATTTTTCTATAAACACTTAATTAGTTTATTATTGTAATAATATTGTCCTTCTAGCAATACCCATCTAGTACCCACCCACCTACCCATATAATATAAAGTGTTGCTTCAGCAACACTTTGACCCAAGGTTACACGCCACTGGTCTATAGGAATAATTAACAACGCGAAGGAGTAAAGTACTTTTCTTTATTTTCTTGTTCCCACTCCACTACAAAAATGGTAGGTATTACATATATTATGCCGATCGCTCTAACCCTTTAACCGATTTCAACGAGTTATTATTTTTATCGTGTAAGTAGTTACATCTTTATATTGTTCGGTAGAAGTTTCATGATTTTTGGTATAATATTATATTTGATGACATTATGAAGACTGAGTGAGATAAGTATGAATTATGAATGCATAATAATAATATATTTGAAAACATAAAATAATAATAAATATTATATTGCAATACTAGGAAGATGGAACCCAAGACTGTTTTTTGAATTTTATGTTTAATAAGAAATTAATGGTGAATAATGTAAAAAGTTTCTGATTACGCCATCAACTGGTAACTGTACGTTCTCGACGAATGCTTGTAATAATCGAAAAACTTTATATGAAATATTAATTCGGGACTTCATAAAATACTTCACGTTTCTTGTATGAAAAATTTCCAAAGCGAATTAAAATGTATTGATTTTTTTACGGTTAACTTTAACATTCAACTAATGTTCTGACCTCATAACGTTTTGACTGATAAAAACTGTATCGCAATTGTATAAGTATTTACTCGTGTATCGYGCACTCTCGTGCATGCTTTGTTGTATATATTCTTATCCAGTACTATATTTCTATCTTGATGACAATTATTAATAATATAATTCAGAAATATGTCTAAAAAATCCATTGACTATGATACCACCACATTGACATTGAAACGGAAAAAAAACAACAAACAATTTTTTTTTTATGYCCTGAAAATTATGAATAACTTTTGCACTAAAATTTTTTTACTTAGTAAATGATACTAAAAATGTTAATAGATTTTAAAAAGTTTAATTGAAAAAACTGATTATTTAAAATCTATGATTATAATAAATATCTCATTTGTTTCTTCCATTTGTTATTCATATTAGATTCTGATGGAGCGAGGAATGTATTGGTTTTACAATGATGTTTATTTCTTTTTCTTTTTTATTCTGTAAACACTTTTTCTCCCTCTAAACTTGCTCAAAAGTATTAAGTATAGTATTTTTTCTGAAAGATAATCTTGAGCTGGTACTTTAGAAAGGTCATTTTTCGATTTTCGAAACGGTACTCGAAACAAAAGTGGTTAAAGGAGAAAAAACGTACGATCTCACGAATTTATAATATTAAATAATTACGAACGACGTTTTTTTTTTTAAAATTATAACAATATAATTAATATAGTATAACTTGAATGATAAACCGTGTCCACTTAGAATCGTTTTTCGTATACAATGATATTACATCATTGAATTGAAATTTAATACCATCCATTACAGTAACCCACTTGTAATTTACTGTACTGCAGAGCGACATCCACTTACTTGCCCATTTTTTTTTGTTTTTTTTTTTTTTTATGCTAAGAAAAGATCAATAGATCATTTATTAATGATTTGTTAAATTTTTGTAAMAATCATGAGATGTTAAATCTAAAAACGAAATCTCAAACACAAATTTTGAATTTGAAAAAAACTCAAAGGCCTCAAAACTCCAAAAAAAGAAAAAAAATGCGAAATAAAAACTTCATTTTTAATTCCAAAATTTACGAAACGTATATATTATAAAACGAGCATCATTTAGCTAGCTTTAGAAAACAAATTCAAAGTGCATCAAATCCCAGTCTTAAATGTGATCTGTTGACAGTGTTGTAAAAGTCTGCAGGTATATTATGACGAATCGATAATTAAGGATTATAAGAATTACATCTACAATCAAAAATTCACAAATTATATTAAATAATATATACATTACATTTTTAATTACATGAATGGTTATTTTATTTTATATTATTATATTATATCGAACAATATAATATAATATAATAGGTATCTATTATGATATATTTCATTGACTATCATTCGTTTCGTAATTGAATTGTATTTATTTTAACATAAATATATAACATCATATAAATCTTTAAATATTGAAAATTTCAATAAATATTTTATCTATTGATATTTATAAATTTTAAATCATAAATTTAATTTTGATACACTCTAGTCTTTACAATCATCTGTTAATTATTACTGAGTTGTGTTGCTTAATAATTTCTATGTAGTATACTAGTATGATGTATTTTTTTTTTTTTACTTACAGAAAACAATGAACACATTTGAATTTTAATACATCTATTTTTACAGTATCTACCTAAGCATTGAAATTTTTGAAAAATAAGATGCGTATAATATGATAATCGTGTTGGTATTATGTTTATATTTCATACAATTGTGTTTTGTAATCATTTTGTGTACACAAGTTATTATAACATAACCGAATGCACAGTGAACAAAATGTTTTTTCTAAATGTACCATATGCCACACATAATTGTTTTTTTTTTTTAGTAGCTAACACTTTATAATATGTATAGGGTGAGATTTTTTGTTACACCAGAAATTTATAAAAGTAATATTTATTATTTTTAAATTTATGTGTTATGCCAACTATAATAAAATATAATACTATACATTTTATGATAGTTAATATGTTATAGTTGAATACTTATTTAATTTAACTTAATAAAGCGTTTAATATTTGTAATTTTATTATTTTTGTTTAGCTAATGTCTAAGTATCATAATAATTTTAATGTAAAAAATATATAATATAACATAAGAATAAAGAAATCCCTTAGATATACTCAAACAAATCTTATTTAAAGTACCTATACAAGTACGCGACAAGTGGTATACTATGTGTCATGTAATAGGTATACCAATACCACTTAGGGTAGGTAAACTATGCCTATGTTCGTAACATACAATATTGAATTTCAAACGTTGGTATTATTAAATTAAACTGAGCTACGAAGCTAAAAAATATATTTTATGCGATCTTGTGTCATAAATATTATGCACAACTATCATAAAATACAATAGAAATTAAAGTTATTTGTACTTTTCATGATTTGCACACTTTAAATAATTTTTCAGAAACGCTATAGAAGCTTTATACGCCATTTACACATACTAAGATTTTTCAAATTTCAAGACATTTATATTAATTGCATACCTATTGTTTGGTTCATTTATGATTTTTACTCTATTTTTTTGATTCTAATATGTCGGATTTATACGTAAAAGTTTCATATATCGCTTATATCCTACTAATTTATTATTTAACACGAAAATGCGATCCGTACATAAATATTTTTGTATTTTTTTTTTGTGATTTTCTGCTAAAATGAAAACAAAATCTATATCCTATATAAAATGTATGCAAATTTTTTACTACAGAAAATTACTTCTCATTAGCATCACAGTGTGTTGATGTGTGTGTGTGTGTGTATAAGAGAGAGAGAGAGAGAGAGACGAACACCTCGACCACTGAAATTCGAGTAGTGAAAAGGACTTGACATATTTGGGACGCGTATCAGTACACAAAATCAATTCAACTTTACCCTGAATATATTACATAGTACAGACGAAAATCAAAAATATGACTATTGCCTGTAAATTGTGGTTATTGGCTGTGGTAGGTACAGCGTTCTTATATCAGGATGGCCCACAAGGCAATGGCGTTTTATGCGTAAAAAAAGTCGAACATTTATCCAAAGATAATTCGTCCGGAGATATATTATCTGAAGAAAACAATTCCAGTAGTGAGGATGATTTGGATGGTAGTGGTATGGCAAGCGACATCAAAGATTCCAATGAAGATGATGATGATGATGATGATGATGATGAGCGTGGCATTAAATCGAAAAAAGGATCCCAAAAAAGTAAGAATAAAAATGATTATGATGACGAAGATGATGAAGACAGCGAAGACGAAGAAGACGAAGAAGACGAAGAAGATGGAGAAGATGAAAATTCAGCAGATAGTTCGGACGAAGATTATGAGAAAAATAAAGGGCTCCATAAGAATATCAGACATAAGATAAATAATAAAAATAGAATCGGGGAAATGCAAATGTCAACGATAACTATCATCACAGGAAAACCAGAGGATATCTTAAATTATCTCAACGCAGGTTTTTAAATTTGTTTTACGTTATTGATAGTTTATTCAATCGTTGTATTTAGGACATTTAGGTACTCTTTTGTTTTTTTCACCCAATCTAAATATTTCATGAATCAAGTTTTTGTAAGCGATACAAYGAGTTTTTTCATCGAGATACAATTTATATGTGTATTTGTAAAATTGTGTTGTTTTATTTTAGATATAATGCCTTATCAACCAGCTGCTTTAAATTTTAAAAATAAATCAAATTCTAAACTTCTAAAAAAAATTAAAAGTGCAACTACAAGAACTAAGTCAAGCAAGGRCAAAAAAGAACCAAATGAAGATTTGAAGAATTACATGAGGCTCATCTTTAATAAGAGTTCAAAAAATAAAAACAACAAACAAATAGATTCAGATGAGGTAAGAGTTTTTAATTATCATTTATCTGTCTTAAAAGTTTAGATTTGTATTAACAATAATAGTTTTCTCTTCTTTTTGATACTTGGTAAATTTCAATAATTGAAGGGTGGGYGGGAATAACGTTCTATGTAGCCTAATGATACCTATCATTGCATTCAAATTTAACCTACCTAGTCAGAGGTCCACCCCACTCCCAATCTACARCAGAGCGATACCCATTTACCCGCTTTTTTTTCGTTTTTTTTTCTATAAATATCGAAAAAAAAATTATTAGTTGGGTAGAAAAGCTTGAAAATTTAATACATGGCTTCTAACATATTGTAACAATAGCAGTTGAAAAATATTCAAAATACATAGTCATGATTTTTTTTATAAGTATTTAAAGTTCAAATTTTGACAACATACGTAAAAATTACGAAAATTCTCAAATTATTTTAAGCTAGAAATTMATAAAAAAATTTCTTTTTATATCTAAGATTTGTAAGATTTGAAAATTTTTAATAATCTATAATTTATCCTAGACAGATAAACCATCTCCGGTTAAATAAAATATTGAAATGTCATTATTTCCAGAAACAAAAATTCTAAAAAATGGTCATCTTCAATTTATTTTGGAAATAATTAAATAAAAAATATTTKTTTTTAATTATTCTAGCAAAACATTAAAATAATTTAAAGAATAATATGATTGTAGTTCTTATCCCGGTGAGTTATATTATATTATTATATTATATTATATTATTTTATTACAAAACCAGAATTTTGATATCTCCATTATTTCGTGAGATATCGTGATGGGTAAATTCTCGCGGGATACCCGTATAGGAATATTAATAATATACTCAATAAAATTAATTATCATTGTTCTWAAATATTAAAAATATGATTGTATGAAATATAGGTTAATATGTAGGTAGGTACAAATACAATTATAATTAATGTTGTTTTTGGTACCTATTTTATTTTTTATTTTTCCATCAATATTATATGGATAATAAAAAGATCATAAWTAGCTATAAATGTAATAAAAATAATTTCCCGGTATTTTTTTAACAATACTTATAATATATGACTAACYTAACCTAGCTGTAACATAATATCTAACTATATAAATGTGAAATGAAAATCTTTGTACGGGGTACGCTCTGTAACTACTTCAATCAGATTTTCTTGATTTATTTTTTAAACAGTGGAGCAAGTTTTTTGCATATATTTAGACCAATAAAGTTGCGGGGGTATAAATATGCAAAATATTAAATATTATAAGGTTACTATTGGTTTCAATTCTAAGGTGGATTATTTATTAATTATAGCCATTTATTATTGTTTTCACATTATTTATTATTTAGCCTATTCGTGTTTTTGTAAATTTGTAAATTTGTTGATCTACGGGACTTTGTCACGTGAAGTTTTGAACATGGTTAGTCGGGTATTTAACGACGAATTTAACACAAATTTTTAATCATATAGATTTGGTATCTTTAACGGCCAACGAAGTGCAAGGGGGTCAGCTAATATATTATATACGTCTGTCTCAAATGTATGGGTACTAATATTTTTTGATTATAAATGTAATCTTTTGGAATCCCTGGAAATCTCCAATAGTCCTCAGCCAATAGACGTTCAGCCAGCGAAACCAATCTAAGTTGAGAAGCAACTGGTCCATAGTTATGTGGTTCACAGGGGATATTCAATCTAAAACTAGCAAACCTCATAAATTTACGCTGAACCCTTTCAACAAATAATATGCTCAATGTGGGGTCTCGGATCAAGATCACTACTATATTTTTCCTTTTACCGAGGTCTAAAAATAATAATTCCAAAAAACATTTAATATTTTAATTATTCAAATACAGCAGTAATTATTGATTATTTATTTTTTAATATATGAAACATATTGTTTTTTGAAATTGGTTAAATTTTGAATGAATGAAAGCAACATATACTTTAAAAATATATATGTAATATGCATAATATTGTAAAATTGTATGGTTTTCAGTTTTCACACTATGAAAACTAATGCTTGTACGTTGTACATTAGATAATGAAGAATATACTATAATACCAGTACTCTGCAGAAGGTACTCACGCCGCTACTCGAAAATTGTACTCGTTGTGATTGTATTTRCATTTTTATTTGTTTTTATAATATTGTTAAATATATCCACCATGGTCTGATACGCACAAGTCAGTTTTATATGGTCATGATTTTTTTAGAACAATTATAGAAATATTATTAAAAGGAATGTGTGAGATTTTTCCAAGCGACGTATATTACAACTATAGGTACCTACTTACACAAGTCATGTGCCTATAAAATTTACTTGTGCACAGCATTTAATGGCGGAGATATTGAAGAAAATTTATAAGACAAATAAAATATATTACCTATATTATACAATTTCAACGAGTAGTGTGCTATATTATACTGTATTTTTACCTAATATATGGCTCGTGTTTTCACAAAATTTCATACAATTTTATGGGCCTCCTATATGGCATATAGGCAACGCCGGGCGTAAGCCTAATAGCTAGTAATATAATTTATTGTATTACTATCATGGTAATTTATTTTATTATTATAGTACGGTTGGTTGAATTATTTTTCCCGACAATATATAGCCTTTGTCATATTATATAATCCTATATTTGTATAATAATATATTCATTTTATTAAMATTTGAGTAAATATTGAATTACTTTATAGGACGTGTGATTAGGTTACATTTACAAGCCTTAGCTAAAAATATTAGACGTTTAATAGGTACATCCTTAACTACAATATAATTTGAAAATTTTTGATATTTTGTCAAAATTTGAACTTCAATTGCTTAGATATTAAATCTTGCCTATGTCTCTGTAATATTTTAAATAATTTGATAATAACGACTTATGAAACCTATTATTTCAATTTCAATTTTTTTTTTACCGAGTGAAATGTTTAATTGATAATTATTATTATATAAAAAAAAAAAAAAATAGAAGATGTAAAATGTCTATAAATAACATAAAAATAGTCTAAATAATAATATTATTAATTGGATATACGAGTTGAGTTGAAAAATTATAAAATACATTTTTAATTACCTAAGTAATTAGTTAATAAGTCCGCCTTTAGATTTACCTTGGTTTGTTTTAGTATATCAATATACGTCTTTATATTAGTGTAYATATAATATATATTATTCTAAAACAACAAATTTTATAGTTRTTACTTAATATCGTAATATTAAATGTTAATATAATGGTTTTTTTTTCTTACAGATTTTAATGACTATCCTGAAGTCTACGTTGTTACATTTATTAAAARATATATAGTTGGAATCCTTTGAAAAATCTATCAGTGTACTTTATCACCAGAATGTGTTGGATATTACACTTGTGTACATGACTGCRGCTGTAATTAATGATAATTAAATATCTTCAAAATATTTAAATACATCGTCTAGAATATTATGTTTTTTTAGAGCTTCCTAGATAATTTTAATTGCAATTCAACCATATTCATACACCTATATTAACGTTTAAATTTTTTTTATTCTATTAAAGTTTTTTTTTCCATATTTTATACATTGCGCATAATAATATACATTATACCTTATGGCTGTAGTGTTTGAAGGCAGTGACGGTGTGAAAATATGAATGCTTTGAACTCTTTGAAGCATATTGTAAATTTTAAAAAATTTACCCCCCGCCTCTAATTAGCAGCAGGGACCAAAGGGCTTTTAGACATAAAGCAATTTCTTCAAATAATCCTATGTCACGCCGCCACAGTATGAAAGAAATGTTATAATCTATAAGAGTTTTGAGGTTTTTTATGAATACTCATAAATTTCAAGTCATTTTATTGTTATCGAGTTTAAAATTTTATGCCAAAATGTCTCGTAAGAAAATAATATTGATGAAGGTACCTACTTATAAATTTCATATAACTACCAACGTTATTGGTAAACTGTAATTGGTAAATATAAGAGCAAATCATTTACACGTTTTCATGGAATTTGATTATTTTTTCAAAAATAAAAATGGTTCTAGCTCATTCATAATATATTTGTTTAAGGTTGGCATAACTTACAAAAATGACTGAATGTCCGTTTTCTAAAACTTGCCAAATAATTTATTGTGACGTATTGCCAAATTTTTATTTCTTAAATTACATTTTAATATAAGACGAACACTCTAATAAGTATAATAAGTATACATTAGACAATAATTTTAAAAATCTTAGCACTAATTCAGGTAATTCTTATTGGATAATCCGTTTTATATAAGAATAAAATGAATCAATTTTCAAACGTTTTACTGTATTTCATCCGTCGTTGTAATAATCGCTGATTCACTGATAATTTACTAAATACCATCATTATAGGTACCAAAAATAAATACAGGTACCTATTTTATAGGTAGTACTAAAAATGAAAAATAATCAATATAAATTGTTTTCGCTTTAATAGTAATCTCTTTCATACATAATACACAAATAACAACAGTATAAAATAACATGTTTTTTCATGTAAAATAGGGTTAAAAATTAGAAACGATTCAGTCGTACATTTAACCACGTACGTTAAATAGACTTAATTTCATGCAATAATCATCTGTTTTGAAAAAAAAAATTAAATAAAACAATATAAAATACAATTTAAGAATGAGCCAAATTAGTTATTTTAGCATTTTATTTCGCTAAATCGCATTATTAATCAATACGTACAGTATTGTAATTACTCTGCATCAATAAAAAATTGCTCATTTTATAGTTCAATCTTAACAACTAAATTATTAAGTTAACAAAGTCATCCAAATGGAAAAGTTATGGTCTAACAACTTGAGAAACATAATATTTGAATTGTCTGAAGGACAATAATGATTTTCTATATAACCTATTCAACGTTTTTCATTCTATTTATTTGGTCTAAAACATCTAGAATTAAAAACTTAACAATAAATTATATAATAATAATAAATATGTATAACACTTAGGTGTGTAAGTTTTTCTAAACATTCAAAAGATTCTAAAAAAAAAAAAAATGTATTTGCGTGAAAAGTTCCTTGACCAAAATTGGCCCCGCATCAAATACCTATTATAATACATCCATGGAATCTTTGGTCAGCTTTTCACACGCAATTTATTAACCAGAATAAAAACTTTGGTAAACAAAGTATGATTTATTATAATATTGTTATATAATATGAACTTACTAAATAATAATAATATTGTCTTATTATGATATAATAGATTCATAAAATGTTGGGAATATCGAGTTTAGACTCATACAATTGCTCAATAATAACTCACGGTATAATAATTTTCAATATTACGCGTGGTTCGAATTATATTGATTTGTAGAAAAAAGTATAATATTATGATTATTGCCAGGGTCGGCCTCAAAAGGAACTTTTAACACATCTATCCACGCAGAATACATTGTTGTATGTATATAATAATAATTAATAGTATTATAATAACAATAAAACATCTATGAAAATGAATAAATAGAATATTTTTAAACATTTCCCGTAAGAATAGTCGTTACATTATAATATGTATATTATTTTAAAAATGGAAAGTGAAAAAGTGCCCAAAGGACGATTTATTAAACTTACAGTGGAGATTTTTAAAGAATCGTATGTAGGTGTACAACAATCGTCAGCTCATTTATTTTATATATATTTTTTTTTTAAGAATGGCAGTGCGTAAAATTTAACTGTTATTTTTAATTTATTATTATTTATTTTGTTTTATATAGAATTTTGAATATTCTGAGCACGGTTTTTGTCACCTATGGCCCAACACCTACACTTAACGCGTCTTTTTCGACTACAACATTCTGTAGAACTTGCACGCCGCATAGCATAGCTAGTATATATGATACATATTAATTCTTATTTTTTTTTTCATAGCATAACATAATTACTATAATACTAAAACAGGTAGGTACGTAATATATATAAAATATGCGTAAATAACATACCTATTATAAAATATCGTTTTGACGTGGGTAAAATCACAATGAATATAATAACAGTATATAAACAATATTTCGTAACAGTAAATTATAATAATAAATCATTACCATCGAAAGGAATATTGAGACGTAAAACGAAGACAGGGTCCGTCATTCATACGGTGGACGACGACGATGACGGTTCGTTTGTTTTCCGTATTTTTTGGGTTTCGTTTAAGTCGTGTCGCTTCTGTTCCTGGTGACCGTGGGCCACGTTTCGTGACCTCCGTGGAGGTGACAGTCGCAACCGCAACGGCTATGGTCTGCGTTGGTGGAGGACGATCGCCGACGAGGTCTCATGGACATGGGTAAAACGGTGATTTTCTTGGGCGACTTGGGCTTGAACAACGCGTTGCCACCACGTTTGAGGTTGTCATCGTCGTCGTCGAAATCGACCCAGCGGCCTCTCGAACAGCTCATCGGCACGTTAACGCTGCGAGCTCGGCGGCGTCTTGGAGGATCGGTAGTTGGTGTCTGGACGATGGTTGCGGGTTTGTTGAATCTTCAGGAAAAAACAAAATCTTGTAATTATTTTTTAAAATCGGTTGTTATATGATCCGCAGTTTATTAGGTATAATTCTATAATAGCCAATATCCAATAGCCAATATAGGTAATGTAACAAAGGTATAGAAAATTAGAAAGGTTTAAAATATAATATGTGACAAAGTGTATTGATTCCTTAGTTTGATATGAAAAATACATTTCTATATTTATTTAAAAATTTCCTACTTTAAAATCCCCATAGAGACGTTTTTAATGGGGAGATGGGATGTCCTATAGTTGAAACTTTTTATAAAGGCATTTTTATGTCTATAATTATTATTTAATCTTATTACATTATATATATTGTATAATATAGTAAAATATATATTATTTTCGAATAATTAAGAAATGAACATATTGGGTATATTTTATAATGCTATACATTAGTTTGTAAAAGTGTATAAATTAAGTTGGGTTCACAGCTTCGTCATCTAATGTTTTGTTGTTTGCATTTCTTTTATTGTATTTTCAATTTTGGTTAAACGTTGTAGTAATCATGGCATTATTTACTAACCATATAATCTACCAAGAAATTTTCAGAGTGGGGTCGATAATTTTTGGACTGATGACGTAGTTGTGAACCGGGTTTTAATCAGTCTCTATCCCGTACAAATAATATAAGTAGGTATTATAGGTGACATTATGTATGTGGGTTATACAGATAAGTCTTGTTTTTATGTCCTACATAGGCCATCGAGCACCCTCAGTTCGTATCTTCGGGAAATGGGCGATGCGTGTCGTTAGACCGGAAATTATGACATTTGCAAAAATATACATACATGACTTGTTTGGCAGGAATTTCATCGCTACCTATATATTATGCTCACTCGTGGGCGATGGCGTGAAAACGGACTGATCAACGTGGAGATAGGGTTTTTCTAAGACTGATCGACGAACGTCGGAAAAGATCACGATTGTCCGCTAGAAAATATACCGTAAAAAATATCGACCACGTTCGCCGTATTTAAATTTCGGCCATTTATATCGGGTTGGGGTGATATTACGCTAGTGCCGTATTTTCACCATATTAATAAATTACATTTAATTTCAAAATAATTTTTTGTCGGAAATCACGATTTTCATTATTATGGTGAGGTGTGAAATTGATTTTAAGCCAGAAATGATAGTTATTAAAATTAGTAATGTGTCGTTTAGGTTTTTACCTAACTAAAATGTAGGTTATTCCTGCAGTCCTGCACGTCTATAAAGTATTCAACTGTTTTCAKTCGTCTTGGAAATTGCAGGAAGTAGTAACCTATTGGTTACGTAAGTGGTTGGATTAGTACTTTAGTGTGAGTTAAGTATGGTTGGTAATTTGGTGTGATAGTTGAAACTTGAAGTAGGTAGTTTGTATAGGCGTGTTGCAATTGGTTTTTTCGATCTACGGAATATTTTCAAGTGTTAATTTTGCGTTCAATTCTAATATTTAATTTTGAGTTTTTACAGAGAAAGTAAAATATTCGTTTATATTTTAATGTTTATTTATAATAATAATTAAAATGTAAATAGTTGAATATCAGAAAAACTGTTCTACCACCGCCCACTGCAGGTACAAGATCATATTTAATTGATGATATTATTTTATGTCTGTATAAAATTATACGACGATGCGGTTTTACTTTCGACAATAAACATATACGACATATTATTTACATGTTCCCTATATCTACAGTCCGTCACTATTTTATCAACAAAAAGTAGGTAGTGACATTAGAATAATATTCGTTAAAATATAATGTAAGATTTATCAAAGTCTCCGAAGGATATAATATATCAATACTATTAAAACAATTTTCCCGCGGATTTTGCATGTGATACCTATATATATATATATAATATTATTATATGTATATTTATAGAGCATCAGCCAGACCACCGTTGCACTAGTTTCAAAAATATATT